GGGGGGAGGGGGATGGGACACCTGTAATACTTTCAACAATAAAGATAAATTTAAAAAATAAAATGAATATAAATTAAATAAATAAATAAATAAATAAATAAATAAATAAATAAATAAATAAATAAATAAATAAATATGAAAATAGTTGTTCTCTGGTTCAGGCCAATGTCACGGACTGTTTGTGACTATCCTTGAGTACCCTGTTTGAAGCTTTCAGCAATGCATGGCTTGTGGCTCTCTGCTGGTGCTGGTGTGCTTGGAAAGAACCAAGATGTGCACCCAGGTCTGCTTTTCCAAGTCTCGGGTGCAGAAGCAAAGACTCGGAGCACCCAGTGATTCACCTTTGCCTGCAGGCTGATTAACCTGAGTTCCTTAATGAGCCCTAGTCTGTAGACTACAGCAAGGTGTAAACTTCACGGGTGAGGTAAGAAGTTTTCCAATGGGTGGGGCATTTGTTTCCCACCTCCCAAGGCAAAAGCTGCCTGGATGTTAAAGGTCTGCCTGAGAAAGATGTCCCCTGCAGTATGGGGAAATGACTTAGCACAGGTATCCAGATGGGTGCCCTCTGCACTCTATCTCCAACCCTGGATTCTCATTACACCACTTTAGTCCACTCTGCCCTTCCTCTGTCAGAGCCCAAGGTAAGTGGCTGCACAGGAAACTTTGTGCTTTGGCCCTTAAAGAGGGTGCCTGCATTTCCAACCATCTCTCCCTTGCAAACAGAAACCCTGCTGCCTTTCACAGCCAGATGTTATGAGGACAACTTTCTCAGTTCTGGTGCTCTGGGCTAGGGAGCCCAGCTTGGGGTTTAGACCCCAGGGTTCTCCGTGGGAATCCCCACAGCTGAGATACCTCTCTGGACCTTCAGCTGCTGCCTGTGGGAGCCCAGCCAGCCCTCTCATGCCTCCACACTTCCTACCAGTCTCTATGTGGTCTCCACTTTAGGTCCTTGGTTATGAGGATGCTCTCCAGCTAGTCTTCAGTTGATTATTCAGGATGGTTTTTCTATATTTTATTTGTAATTCCAGTTTGGTCCTGGGAGATTGTCAGTATAGCTTCCACTTAATCTGCTACCATCTTAGAATTCCCATGGTATTCTTGTACGATCCTTTGTATTCTGAGGTGTCCATTATAACTTTTCTTTTTTCATTTCTGATTTTGTTTAGTCTTGTTTTTTCTTAGTCTAGCCAGAGAATTGTCAATTGTGTTGCATTAATTTTTTGCATACTCTTTTTGTCCTGTTTTATTCAATTTTGCTCTAATTTTTATTTTTTCCTTCCTTCTTCTGATTTTAGGTTACATTTGTTCTTCTTTTTCTAGTTCTTTAAGATGTAATGTTACGTTTTATAACTTCACAGATTTCACACCAATGAATTACTGCTAAGGTTGTATTTAAATAGCAAACAAACTTCAGAGCTCTAGGAGAATCCCTGTTTATCATAATGAGAAGTTTGATATTTGTTTGCAAAAATTCTTTTCAATAAATACAGGAGAGAAGGGCTTGATGGAAACAACTGCCTTGGGTAAAAAGCATTTCTTCCTTGCCGGTGTGTGTCAGTGGGTTGGGCATTGTCCCATGCACAGAAAGGTGGTGGGTTCGATTCCTGGTCAGGGCACATACCCAGGTTTGGGGTTCAATCCCTAGTGAGGGTGCATGGGAGGCAACCAACCGATGTTTCTCTCACATCTATGTTTCTCTCTTCCTCTCTTCCTCCCTCTCTAAAATCAACACTTCACCTTCAATATATTATGTTGGGTTCATTCTAAGCAGAAAATGATTAAAAACTCAAATGTAGCAGACATTTTAATGATTTAAGAGGTATTATCAATTTTTTTTCCAAGAAGAAAAGCTGGCAGCATATTGGGTACTAAGTAACCCCAACTCCTGCTCTCAGAACTTGCTACTTGGCTTCCAATTTCAAGAGTCCAGTTGTGTGGTGGCTGATTCACTGGCTGCTGAATTTGACTTCTGAATTTTGTAGGTGCTATGGATTTGCTCCATCCAACAGGAAGCTGAGGATTTGCTGAACAATTTGGTCCCGAGATGCTGGTGAGGGACTTGTGTGCTTTTACCATCCTCAGGTGGCTGGCCAGCAGAGCCGTCAGTGCTTCCCAGTTCACTCCATGGCTCCACCCCCAGCAAGGAGTGAACTCTGAGATGAACCCAGGGCTCCCGTGGCTGAGGCAGCGAACTGCACTGACCCTGAAACAAAGCCTGTGCTGCTCCCAAAGTGTGCCAGGGTTTAGAGCATGTTGGAACCCTGCAAGGGTCGCAACGGCAGGGCTCTCCACTCAGGGAACCAACTCTGCTCTAGGTGTTGCAAGTGGTTCTTTACTCTTACCACCCACGTCCTTCCTTTGGTTCAGTAAAAGGTCTATTGGAGGCTGCTGGTGTCTAGGGACATTGCTACCAGGGTCTCTTACCCTGCTGGTCATGGTGCCAGTTGCTGAGCTCTAGGGACCAGCTGTGGGGTCATGAGTGGCTACTGAGCCTCTAGGTTCTACGTGGGAAGGCAGAGCACCTGCACCCCAGCAGTCACGGCTCAGGAAGGAAGCAGATGAGCTAGCACCAACCTGCCCTTGTGTAGGCTTCCCTCTTGGTTCCTGATGGTCAGTCAGTGTTCAGGTCTCTTGAAGCCAATGTCCATATGGGAAGCACTCAAGAGTCTCTTAAATTTCTGTCATAATTTTTTGGTCATTTTTTGCATCATTGCCATTTTCCTGACATGTTCTTGCACTTGTCTCATTATGTCTGGATTACTAAGCATGTGACTGATTGGTGGTTGGATTTCTCACTCTTGGCCTGCCCTTCCTGTCTTACTACTGTCAACCAATCGTTGTTGGCACCAGTTCAGTGCCAACAGGAATCCCCAACTTGGGCTGCAGTGAAGAAGGAAACTATTCAGTGCAAACAGCTCAACTGTGTTACAGCACAGCTGTGAGAACAGCAGGGTTGTGAGGCAGCCCTGGGGCCAGGCCACTCTAGGGCTCTGCTCTGATGGGCTCTGGAGAGACACCTTCAGGGTTTCAGCTCAACCACAGAGACCCAGTCTTAGGCAGAAAAGGAAAGTGGCTCCCAAAGCCAGGGAGGAGCTGGGTTAGATGGGCGCAAGTCCCCACCCCTGCCCCTGATTGGGCCAGCCTCAGGCAAAGGGGGACTCCAAATCCTTGCAGAGTGATTGGTCCAAAAGGCGCTGTCCTGATTGGTCAGGATAGAGTGACTCTGGTTCATAGGAGCTGCTCAGCTCTGATTGGGCGGGGGAGGCCCCAGTCCTCTGGCTGAGCTGGACTCCAGGATCTACCAGGGCTGCTCCGGGCAGACAGCGCCGGCCTGGGGTCCAGGGCGGGGCTGCCCGTGAAGCGCGGTTTCCGGAGGGGCCCCTGTGCAGAAATGGCTGCTGGGCTCTGTTGTTGATTAAATTTGAGCCCAGTTAGCCTCCTCCTTAGTAGGTACCTTCTTTCTGAGGGTTCCCACTGCACCGGCGTCGGGAAGCATTCCCTGAACAGGCGACTTTCCATCCTCCCGGGACTGACCGTAACTTGCTGTTGAACCCGGTGTCTACAGAGGCTGGGTGTGTGCAACCCGGCCCTCGACCCTGCCCTCCGCGGGCGTCCACCCGCAGGGCTGACCGTCCTCCAGGGGCGGGGGGGCTGCTGGTCATCACACGGCAGGGGGCGTTTGTGCTAAAGCGAAGGGCTCGCAGCGGGGTCTCCGGGGATGTGCGCAGGGTGGGCTCCGGGCTGGCTCCAGGAATTCGGGTCTTTTCACATTTCCCCGGGAAAAAATGGCCCGTCGCCGTGAAGCTCTCGGGAACTTCTCTCTCGGGCAGCTGGGCATGTCTGAGACTCTGCAGCTTCCTTCCTCTTCAGGGCCTCTGTGCCCTGGGACTGGGCCCGGCGGAACCTGTGCCCCAACGGGGCGGTGGGCACAACCTGCCCGGGGCGGAA